AGCCAGGACTTCAGGTAAAGCTGGGTTTAATGCGCAAGACACGGACATCGACGGACAATACAGACAATACAATACAATGACGGAACTCGGGACTACTAACTCAGACGAGGACTAAATACACAAGACAAGCTAGACTTAATAAGACACAGGCGAGCACAATCAGGGTTGAACACGAGGTAATGAGGGGGGCGTGGCACACATCGGGATCGTACGGAGCGGGGTGTGACACCACTGTATATTAATTTTTTTTTACATTTTTTTTCGCTGGGTAGAATTCTTGCTGGAGAACCAATACGTTCAATTTATGCAGCTTTCCTGCCTCCTGATTAGCTTTTAGTTTAACTAATGAGCATTTTGGCTTTCACTAGTTCATCTAGTAAACATTTTGAGCCTCACTAGTTAACAAATAAGGTCAAGGGGGCTTTACCTAGTTAAGTAATGAGCATTTTGGCTCTCACCAGTTAACTACTGCAGAAAATTGTAGGTCACTAGTTAACTAGCTGTTGAAAAAGTGTGACCATTAAGAATTTTTGTCCAGCTAGGGTGACACAGTGTCCAACTAGTACTGACAAAGACCGAAATAGTGGAGGAAACTGGCACCTGATACCAAGGATGTGAAATAAATGCTCAAGCGGCTTTTTATTATTGTTGGGAGTCGGCAGTAGAGAGACACATCAGAAATACAACTGATTATGGTATGTGGACGGTCACTAATATTTTTAATATGTGGATGTACAAAATTTTGATTCTTTTAGATCTGCTGACCGCGGTGGCGCAGTGGTTAGCACTGCTGCCTCACAGCAAGAAGGTCCTGGGTTGGCCGTAGGGCCTTTCTGTGTGGAGTTTGAATGCTCTCCCTCTGTTTGTGTGGGTTTCCACTGGGGGCTCTGGTTTTCTCCCACAGTCCAAAAGTGTGTGCGTTAGGTGAATTTAAGTTGGCCCTGTGAGTGTGTGTGCCCTCCGGTGTGTTGGCAACTGCCCAGGGTTGGTGTACCTGTTGTTCCCGGTTGGGATTGGGAAGTGGTAATGAATGGAAATCTAATTCACTAAAAAGCACCAGTTCAAAAGATCAGTTAGTTCATGAATCAGACATCATTATTATTCACTTAGATAGCTGAGCAAATAGTGTTTTGCAGTGTAGTTCATATAGTGCTTTTCTCTTCAACTGAAAATTGCCCAATTACAAATTGGATTCCACGTTGTATTGGACTTCAGTACTATTACTGTATATCAGTCGCATCACGACAGATTCGTGTCGTGATATCACACGTTGTAGCAGGACTGACTATACTAGGAAAATCCATTTTATAGGAGGGTTCCACGGGCCTAAAGACTTAGGTATGTGTCCTAGTCAGACATTTATCCAATTTTTGCCATCGACTTGTGTGCATGTAGTGTTTTGTTGGTAAAAGTCATTGACTTCTCCCCATAGCCCTGACTGTACCTTGATACACTTATGTGACTTTGCCCTTTCACTGTTACCAAAGTAAGGTCTTATGAAATGGAACATTCCTGGTATGTCTCATTGCTTCATGGCAGGCAATGCATAATCAAGCTTGCCGTCATCAGGAGAAAATATACAGTAAATCATATCATAACAGGGTGATACTTCACACTGTGGCTTAACATCAATACCCATGTTTGTTTTGAGAGCTTTTAATTTCAAAATTGTATATAAGTAAAAATTAATTGTATCCTACTTCTAAGGTGTGTTTCCTTACCTTTCCCCATTTCTCTACTTCTTTTTTTCTCCAGAAAGCTACCACATCTTAGAGAGTGCATGGAAAGATTGTCTATTAGATGTATTGGAGGAGCTGACAGATGAACAGATGAAGAATCTGAAGACACGCATGCCACCCCCTGCAGGTCGTAAGGGCATCCCTAAAAGCAAGCTCTGTGGGGCTGACCGCCCAGACCTGAGGAACTTGATGGTAGAGAGTTGGGGAATGGAGGGCTCCATCATGGCCATCAAGGAGGGGTTGAGTAAAATGCAATGTAATGATTTGATTGAGAAGCTAAATGACTTCCTACAGAAGAAGAAAAAATCATCTGCATGAAGCCTGTGCTCTTAACACAGAGTTCAGGAAAAGCCTTCTAATTAGACTAATTTCAGTTTCAGTTTTGTAACAGGCATCCAAGAAAATTCTTCTGCCTATTAATATGTTTTATTCAGTTACATTTTTCTCAGTTTTACCATATCCCCCTTAGGTTCTCCTATACTCTAGTGGGTTGAACATATAAGCTTTATGTAGTAATGTTACTGGGAAGTATGCCACTAGGGGGAGCTAAAGTTTCTGGTATACAGGGTGTCTGCGGCGTTTTAAAAAGTACTAAAAGGTAGTAAATCGCATAAGCAAAAATTAAAGCCATTAAAAAGTATTAAAAGGTATTACACACGAATTTACGAGGTATTAAATTTTAGATTTTTTTTAAACTACAAATTGTCCATTTGTGTTTTAAAGTTTATCTGCTAAATTTCTCACAAATTATTTTAAATGTGGATTAGGCTCATTTCTTCATTCATAGATGATCTCTGTGATGCTGACGTCATATTCGGTGGTCGAGTGACGTCTTAAACAGTTTGCGCGCTGAAGTACAGTACATGTTGGCTGCTTACACTCAGAAAAGCTAAGTCATAGTCATCATGGGTAAGTGCAAATTTGCACATAAGTGGTTAGAGGACCCAGCGTTTAAGGACTGGCTAAGGTCGGTAGCAGGAAAATATCGAGAGGGTTACTGATCGGTTTGCAAAAAAAAACCATAAATATCACCTGGATGGGGGTTAGCGCTCTCTGGTCGCATATGCGATGCACAACTCAGAAATCAGGAATGCATGGATGAGAGCAGTT